TTTTTACATTTTTTTTCTTTTCATGATGACAGTGGTGAGGCTCTGCCTCCCCTGACTGCATGTCCCTGATTACAATTCAGCAACAAATCCATGAAGGGCTACAGCAATTATGTACATGTCTTTGGGAAATTGCATTCACTTCTGAGGTTCTTGGTTGTATTCTCCTATGTAGACAAATTTGGGACCCTACTGTGGAATAAATGGGCAGTGGGGTGGCTCAGGGGTTAAGACGCTGGACTTGTCAGCTGGAAAGCCAGCAGCCCAAGTTTGAGACCCGAGCTCCACATGACGGGGCGAGCTCCCATTCTCGTCCCAGCTCTTGCCATCCTAGCAGGTCAACAGCATGCAAATACAAGTAGATAAATAGGTACCACTTCGGTGGGAAGATCGCAGTGCTCTGTGATGTCATGTTGGTCACATGACTGGGGAAATGTCTGTGGACAATACTGGCTCAATGGCCTTGAAACAAAGATGAGTGCCACCCCCGGAAGTCAGCAACAAATAGAGGAGCAAAATCCGCAGGGACTCTCCCCCCTCTTTGTGAATAAATTATCTAAATCTTTCATATCCCAGATTGATCATCCATGTTCATTCTTAAAGGCAAAGTCTGCTAGTGTGGAATTATTTGGCCCAAGAGTTGTTCACTTAAGATTTTGCTCATAGCCTAAGGGGTGAGTTTTGGTACACTAATTGTAAGTTTGGTTTCCAGAGAGGTATGGAGTGAAACATGTTTCTAAGTGGAATTTTGAGACCTGGAATGAACCAGATCACCATGACTTTGACAATGTATCAATGACTGTAAATGGTAAGCTGGTTTAAATCCCCCCTTTTAAAAATGGTGAATAACATGGAAAGAATTCCAAGGAAATGTTAGATGCAAGCAAGAAAAATGTTGCTCATTTTAGATCTTGTAAAATCCCCACTTAATATCAAATAGATATTGGTTTTGCCATCTAGGCTCTTCCAAACCTAGGTTATTATGCCTAGGTTAGCAAACAGGAATGCTAGTTAGTCTTTTATAACAGTTTTAACCATGCATATATTATTTGGCCAGGCTGATCACCTGATACCGTTTATAAATAAAATAAGACCAGGTCTTATTTTCAGGGGAACACAGTACCGTATATACTCGAGTATAGGCCGACCCGAATATAAGCCGAGGCACCTAATTTTACCACAAAAAACTG